ACCGGTATGTGATAGTCGGACTTCGAGAATTCGGTGAATCGCTTGGCCTATAAAGTATTTCGGTAAAAACGAATTGTTTAAAAACCTGAGACATACACTCTCGTGTTCATGAAATAAGTCATGCTACTAAACCTAGTGGATGCACTTTAAATTTAATAACACTTTTTGAAAACAATTTGAGTTTAATTAATTTATTAAAACACTCTCGTGTATTTAAAAATTAATGTTTCGTTACCACTATCTGGGTTGAACCCCAACTCTCGCATGCAGGTTCTTGCCTTAATTAATTTCCCACTCTCGTGGAAAAATCGTGTTAATTATCCTCTCACTCTCGTGACAAGGGTAGTTAAGTTAAACATGGAAATTGGAAACCAGAAATTGTTTTATAAATGTTTTTAGCCAAGGTATCACTGAATTCTTTCGGTACTTAGGAGTCATATACTGGTACAATTAATTTAGTCGGACATAATATATTTAATAACTATGCAATTCAAAATATAATCCATAAAAATAATTGGCATAATACAAGAATGAATAAATATTAATTGCATAAAAAACCTGGAAATAATGTTGCTATGGTAATCTTGGATGTTACAAATTCCTTGCAGCTCAATCGAAATTAATAAATTGTGTTAATTCTTAAATGAAGAATTAACACTCTAAAACTAATGCTGGAAATGGAAATTACAGTAGTGTAGAAAAAGCCCTAAAACAAGAAAATAGAATAATTGCAGGAAAGTAGAAATTTGGTTCTGGGAGAAATTCGTTGACCCTCATCCCTTGAACTACCACATATATATATAGAAGAAAATATTGCAGTTGAAAAAATCTTGGAAAAGGCTTGAGTGGAGTAAAAATAGGATGCATGGTTACTGAGTGGAGGAAATATAGGAGAACACTTCTGCCCTCACGTTGCCCACGTCTCCACTAATTCATAATGATCCTCTTTACGCGTGTGACGGTCGTCACAAGTGGGTGACGGTCGTAATGCGCTTAAATAGCGCATTACGCTCGTCAGTGATGTGTGACGAGCGTTCTTTCTAGTTGGGGATGCGTTACGGTCGTCACAGGGTGTGACGGTCGTCACCGTTACAAAATCTGCAAACTTTGCAGATTTGGTTCCTTCTCTTCTGTTTCTTGTTGAGTTTCCTTCATGTGGACCTTTTTCATTGATTTGGGTTGACAAATGTTGTACCTGTGGAAAGACACAAAAACTCGGAATAATCGGGAGTTAGACAACTCAATGTATTATAAAAATCGGTAAAAAGCGTAGTAATAATATGATATGATTTCTCGTTATTAAATTCCCCCATACTTAAACCGTTGCTTGTCCTCAAGCAAATAGTCATTCGAAAGGTCGGACAAGTTTTGTCAAGTGCATATGCATGACATACCTTGGATTTTTAAAGCAATTTCGGGAAATCCTCGTCGGTTTGGCCAATACTTGAGTGAAACACTAAAGATACGCTAATGACACAAGCAATAAGCTTAGTCGTAGGCTTCCATTTCAAACGAGCTATCCAACAGTTCCGTTATAATTCTGCCCAGAGTTCCTTGTATCTATTTCACCCGGTTTCATTCTGGCACAATCACATTAAGCCTTTTGTCTTAGCACGCACGTAGTGGAGTAACGGGTTAGTTACTTTGATCCTTTTAGCACGGGGTCTGGTACACGAATGTGGCAACCCTACATATGTTATCCAAGTTGGAGGTTGTGGGGGATCAGGCCGTAGCACGCCCTACCGAGTTCAGAACCAGATACCTCTGAACCAACCAACACTGGATTCCTTCATTATTTTCTCAACTCTTATATGTGACCGTATATTTTGGTGCACGAAATTTCTTTTCTTTTAGCAACGAGATAGGAAGGATATTTTAATGATCAGGCATCAAACACTTATATTCATCGATTCTCCACGTGGTTTGTGCCAAGACAGTGCTGACTGCTAGTATAAACTACTAGGGGTTACTGTAGAACTAAAAACTCCAGATATCGGTATAATGGTTATTGAAACGGATCGCGTAAGAAGGAAGTCTATGGTGTCATAACCGTATGGATCTTTGAAACAACCGGCTGAAAATCATCAAAACAATGAAGTCGCCATCGAACGTCTTTTATCCCACATGGAGGGAAAGGTAAACATCGAGTAAACCTGAGAAGGGTGAAATCAAGGTCTTGCGACCGAGAGATAAGGGTAAGGGAGTCTGTTACGCGAGGGGAAGGTATTAACACCCCACACGCCCGTAGTACTCTACGGTATCCACTCTTGTTGTCTATCTTATGGGTGTGTTTGATCTATGCTTACTGTCTATTATACTACTGGAGAGAAAATACATGCAAAAGAAAGGAGAAAAGATGTAGGGAAAATTAAAATTGTTCTCGTTCGGGCCCTACCCCGATGCCTACGTATCCCTTTTGAGGAATCAGAGCAGCCGTAGTTCGACTTATATGTTTTTGTTGGTTTGTGTTTTCATGAACAGTATTGATTTTGCCTTCTGCCGCAACTCGACCTTTGGAGATTTACGCGTCGGCACAGAAGTGAATTAATATGCTCTTTTGAAAAGTTTGGAAAGAAATGTGCCTGGACGCACAAAAAAGGTTTGAACTTGTTTGTTTTTGAATGAATGATATTAATTTCTCCTTCTGCCGCAACTCGACTTTTGGAGACTTACGCGTCAGCACAGAAGTGAATTAATATATTCTTTCTAAAAAAAGTTTGAAAGGAAGGCCCGAAGGCAAAAAGAATTTTATGTTTGTTGGTGTTTTTGCTTGTAGAGAATAACTAGTTAATCTCAAGAGAGAGATTTTAGCCATGTCTCTACTTATTCGTGAAATGAGTCTTTGAGACTTGAACCACGCCGAAGCTTAGAATAAGAGAACAATAAGGTCGAGAAGAGACCCGCTTATCGTCTCACATACTTAACGAAGATATGATTCTCGTCAGTAAATTTTTTTAGTATTTTTGAAGTTCGTCAGAAAAAGAAGTTTTTGTTTTAATGCAAAATGCAAAAGGGGAATGAAAAGTCTAAAGGGAGACTAACCTAAATCTATCTCTAATATTATCATACAATAGTGGTCCTATGGTTGAGTTTTGAAGGGAAAGTAGAATGAAAATATACCAAACAAGTACTAGCCCGTAGAGCAAAGTAAAAAGCAAAGAAACTCGGTGATCTTGCGAGCTGCTAGCACCAACAAAGAAAAGAGTCAGGAATTGAATACGCAGTATAGGTGTCGAAGCATCATCGATGTGAAAATAAATCACGATGGAAAACTCAAGCATATCCGCATATCCTGCATAAGATTCTAACCTCAAAAAGCAAAGGTAAATTAGAAATCTCAAGTAATCGGATAATCGGAATTTAATTCCTAAAATTAAATAAAAAGAATCTAACAAATTTTTATACTTGATTTTTATTACTTTTTCCATATAAAGAAAATTCAAACAAGTCTAAACAATTAACAAAATTAGCTAAAGGAGATTACTAAAATAGTGAACAAAAGGATATAATCCAGGGGTGCAAACACAATTCAGGCGCTAGGCCCATTGATCAGAGCCCAAGAGCAGTTTTTTTTTTAGACAATACTGTTGTGCCAAAAAACAATCACCGGCCTTAAGATTTCAGCCTATCCGGTCCAAAGGCATGTTCCATGTTATGTTGTTATTTCCAAATTTTGCACTAATTAAAACAAACAATAAATATAATTAAAATAACAATGAAACACGAGCGTTTTGGTTCAACAAGGTCAGGGCTAACGCGAAACAACTTTCAGCCTTCTCAAAAGTAAACTCCTTCTTCTCTCAAGCGAATAAGACCCGCTGCCGTGACCTTCATCTCCCTCGCCCCGTTTCTGTGGCTTCCACCCCTCAATACCGTGCTCCATTCTCAAGCGTTGCGGACCACTCAATTTCCCCTCTTACTTTTAACAATTTCAAGCCATTCTTAAAAAAATTCACCTAATCATAGATCTAGATCTATAGAGAGTCATCCTTCAGTGCAGGATATGGCTGTGAACCTTAGTGTTTTCTCCCTTCATCATCTTCTCTATACCGTGATAATAACGAGAAAGAAAGAAAAATACGAGGAAAAGCGGAAGAATGACGCTTGCTTACCAGAGATGTTCCGGCGGCCTCTGAACCCTTGGGGGCGATGATCCGAAATCCAGAGATGAGGTTCCACATGATCAGGTATATATTCTCCTTCAACTTCTTTTCTTCGTAAGATTTTACTTTCCTTGATTCTTCTTCGTCCCACTTCTGTTTGTGATTGTGACAAAGATGATGCGCTTGTGTTGCGTTAGTGGTTGTTGTAAGGTGGGAACCTAAATTCGTGAGTGTTTGAGGTATGGTGAGGATGATGGCGGCGTGATGTAGAGATGAATGAAGGTGTTGAGGAAAGATAGATGCATTTGTTGTAGAGAAAGAGAGTATGAAGAAGATGGAGATTGAAGGAAAGAAAGTAGGTGAAGGATGGTGGAGAGAGATGAATGAGAGGAAGTTTTAGTGATTGTAGAAGCGTTACTGGAAAAATGGTCTCCCTCTTGAGTATGTTAAGGGATCTGTTTATATAGTCTTCAATAATTGGATAAGTTAGTTATGGTTGAACGGTTTTAGGCCACAAGATCAAAAGAAATTGGTTAACCAATGAAGGGTGAAGATGAAGGTGGAAGTTAGTTAGAATTTTTTGCTAACCATTTTTCTGTTATGGTTAGTTTATATTGCATCTAACTTGAATCTGATTTAGTTAGAATTTGTTATGAATTTGTTATTTGAGCTGACAATTGGTTAGTTAGAAGTTAGTTAGGAATTGATTTTTGTTAGAAATTGTTAAGAGTTAGTTTTAGGAATTAGTTGGGTGGAAATCAGTTACAAGTTAGATGGTTCTAAAATTCTGTTATTTTCTTGTTTATGCTGAATTGGATTAGCATTTTCGTGGTTTCTTTGTTTTCTGTTTCACAAATTGATCCAGTTTTGGTTATGCAGGGTATTGTCACAGCAAGGCTACAAGGAGGTTATCTCACGACTTCTATTTTTTTTCTTCTCTAGCGCATCAGTCTCTTCACTGCCAGAAGTTGTGTTGGAACCACAAAAAGACAGGTCTACCAGTTTCCTATCCTCCGTTTGGTTCGAATTAAGGTTCTCAGAAATGGGCCGGTTTATATCAAGATTAATGGTGACCTTTGACGAAGTATTTAATTTAGCATCTCCACTCTCCTCTGATTCATATGAAGAAACAACTGGTGACTTAGAAGCTGAATGCTGAGCTTGCAAAGCTTCTGAGTCTTCTGGATCTGGTTTAAGATCTTGAAGAGGAAGATTTTGTAGTGTAATATCTCCTTGTTTTGTCTTAGGTGGAACTTTGTTGATGTGCATTAATGGAACAGCAGTTGCTGAAGCAGGAGGATAGGTAAAAGTAAATTGTAGGGAGTGGAGTGCACAACGGATGCAGTCCATGAGCTGTCCACCGTGCAGTTGCAGCAGCCACCGTAGCAACATCAATAACTATTTCTTCATCAGCATCAAGATGCCTATCAAGTTCTTTTCTACCAAGGAACTCTTGAAGCTTAGCCTGTAACTTTGGCACTCTGTTAGCACCTCCAATTAACTCTACTGCATATATTTGATCTGCTGACAAGCCTAAATGCTCAAGCAACTCTTTCATGCAAATCACGAGGCCAATTCCTCTTTACATTATTTGCAATAAAACTGGAAATCTTCGCCCTCAAGCACGAAGCGATCCATCAGAGTCTGCCACATTGTTCAGACAAGTCAGAGCAACCTCCGAGAGGTCTGGTATACAAGCTTGGACATGAGGAGATAAATTTTCAAACACATCAACAGAAGTATCAGGTTCTCGAGGATCTAGAGGCAAAAATGGAAGTTTAGCAACCTCCCTTAAAGCATCAATGTGATTCCCAAGTCTTGACAATTTGTGAATTGATAATATTGACTCAAGTTGTCTTAACACAGTTCGCTGCTCAAAAACATGCTCTCGCTCTTGAACACTGACATCTGGGTAGTAAGTATATGTCTCCAAACTCATTGCCGTTATGGATCAGGCCAGCAGTCTGGCCCTCACCATCCAACCTTCCACGGAAAAGAGAGCAAATAGCTTCAGAGAGGCACTTATTGATGGTATCCAGCGCCATTGAGAAGGAACCCACTCTCTTCTAAATTTCTATAGATTTGTCATACATCCCAGCCTCCTGACACTGGCATGATGCTTTAATCAAAAACTGTTGCCTTGCATTTGGATCCGCCACAAAACGTCCTAACTCTCCTTCTTCTCCAGCACCTCTTGCGCCAAGCAATAGCTATATGCCTCCATCCCTTAACAACAATTCAGTTAGAAGCTGCTTCAGCATCAAAGTTTCTCTGGTTTTGCTGATCGACATTACCTCTACCAGTCCATGACAACTGCCCACCACCAACCGCAGCAGCAGCTTGTGTATAATATTCTAGTGCCATCTGGAGATCACCAAGGCGCAAATACATAGATCCATATTGCCTGACAATGGTGGCTACTTCTGCATAAGCATCCATCGCCCCCAACTTTTTCCCAGTACCGGCCCCTTCAGAAAGGACCCCGTGATCAGCTAGCATAATTGATAGGTGGGCAGCATCAATATTATATCCTTCATCTCCTGTTTCCTTAAACAGGTATAATACAGCCGAAAGCAATTGAATGCTTAAAAGCAAGATATAAGGATATACCAGAGGATCTTTTCCATTTTTTTGTATAGTACGATGGTTCAAATTTATTCAGGTGACTTTGCAAATCATCCAAAGTGTATGGAATCACACTGTCACTTAGAACAAGGGATGAAGATCCACTTGGGCAGTCCCGCACAGCCAACAATTTGAACCACAAGAAATCATCTATCGAACTAAAAAGAGTCTGTTGATTTCTAAGTAGGCGAACAATATGTCTTCGAGAACCTGATATGATGGCATGATTGCTTGTATTGACTTGTATTTTTTTGTATGAATGTGCAGGTCATGAACTGAAGATGAAGAACTTTGGCATGGCATTGAATTGGAAGTTTACTCATGGAATTTTAGCGACTTCAGGACTAAAGAATTTCGTTCAAGTGTATTTTGTAACCGTTTTTTTTCTTTGTAGAATATTGGTGTAATGGGATTGTAATGATTTTATAATGAATGTTTGGTTTGGATGAACTTGAAATTTATAGTGTGAATTGTAAATGACCTTTGAGCTTGAAATGTTGGGTGATGAATTTTAAGGACGGGGTTTAAATGGCAAAGTCTTGAAAAAATGCTTGAAGACATGAAAGCATCAAATTTTCTTGTAAGGTATTGTTACACTTGAATGAAATTGAATGGAATTGGATAGTATTTTTTGAATCATGAACGAAAGGATTCGAATAAACTTTGAACACATGTGAACTTGAATCTGGAATAACGATGAACATCTTTGTAATGCGTATGAACTCCGACTTGAAACAAAACCTCGCAGTCTGTACTTTACCTTCCAAGAAAACCATATGACCAATACTTAAGGCTCTTTGCCGACTTTAATCCAACCAAACACTTTCGAACATCTTGAACTCAAATCAAACTTCAAATCCAAATCACACTTGCATTCTCAATGAACTCCTAACTTCAATCTTGAACCCAAATCAACTTGAAATGACAATAATTTGAATAGTCAATAAGATCTTGATCAGATGGATGATAAAGTCAGAATCACAGAAGAATTCCCTTGATGTGAAACCCTTACAATCTTGATTCCTCGTTTAGACGCACAGAGAAATATTCGGACAAAATATCTTTGAACCATGATTCATCAAAACCTAAATTGATTAACTGAGGAGTAGATGATTGTCATGTCACAGTCGTTAATCCTAATCAAATGACAAGCATACTTATAGGAAAGGACGCCATGATTCGAAGCCCATATATGTTAGGTCACGTCCTAGAGTTCTTGACCAGAATGACCTACAATCGGTTGTTTATCAGAAGATATTATCCCTGTAACTTGGTGGAGGAGAAGTCCAAAAATGAGCCTAAAAAAACCTAATTCCAAAGCTTGCTGCATGAATAAGAAATCATCCTTTATTGGATACGAGCGCCTTAACCACTGTGAAACCCTAGTATCGCACAACCACTAAACTTTAAACCTCAGAGCTATATTGAATGAAATGTATGCCATGTTAGTGACCTAATGAAATAGATGCAGATGAATGCAAAAAGTCTAAGCAAAAATAAAAGAAATTAGGAGGGCAAATTTTGGGGTGCAACAGCTTCCCCTATTTAATCGCCTTCAACCTGAAGGTGAGATTGGAGCCAGCCTTTCGAACTTTCAAGGTAGAAGAAGATTAAATACTAAAAGAACCCAAAAATTTGCGCTCCGAAGCCAGTCAGGTATCATTATTTTTGATCTTTCTGTATTTTATATTTTTTTGCTTTCTAGGTTAAAGGGGTTATCGGGGTTAGATGTATATTTAACCAGGGTTTGACACACAGCAGAATAAATTGGTTATCAAGGAACATCTGTTGGGATTTAGTAACAAACACCTGTAAGAAAGATATCAAAAGATATATGCCTGAAGTCTGTAGTAGACATACGAAAAAAAGTACCAGAGACACATATCCGGGGTTGGTAGCGAATATACAAGAAAGAGACATCAAAAATACATATCTGTGGTCGGTATCAGACACGTAAGAAAGAGATAGAAAAGATACATATTCGTGGTCGGTATCGGATACGGACGAAAAAGATAAAAAAGATACATATCCGTAGTCGGTATCGGATACATGCGAAAGAGATAGAAAAGATACATATCTGTGGTCGGTATCGGATACATGCGAAAGAGATAGAAAAGATACATATCCGTGGTCGGTATCAGATACATACGAAAGAGACGTCAAAGGTACATATACGTGGTCGGTATCGGATACATACGAAAGAGATAGAAAAGATACATATCTGTGGTCGGTATCAGATACGTGCGAAAGAGATAGAAAAGATACATATCCGTGGTCGGTATCGGATACATATGAAAGAGACGTCAAAGGTACATATCCGTGGTCGGTATCAGATACGTACGAAAGAGATATCAAAGATACATATCCGTGGTCGGTATCGGATACGTAAGAAAGAGACGGACCGAAGAAAGCTCTTACAAAGAAAACACCAATCGAAGGTGAACTTACTGAGGGAAGAGACCAAACAAATGGGACTCCTGACAAATGATACCAGTCGACGATGGATTTTAACAAATGATACCAGCCGAAGAGGGTTTTGAAAGATACCTGTTGGAGCGGGATTTGAAAGATACTTGCCGGAGCGGGATTTTGAAAGATACCAGCCGAAGCGGGATTTTAACAAATGACACCAGCCGAAGCAGGATTTTAAAAGATACCAGCCGAAGCGGGATTTTAACAAAGGGTACCAGCCGAAGCAGGATTTTGAAAGATACCAGCTGAAGCGGGATTTTAACAAAGGGTACCAGCCGAAGCAGGATTTTAACAAATGATACCAGCCGAAGTAGGATTTTGAAAGATACCAGCCGAAGCGGGATTTTAACAAAGGGTACCAGCCGAAGCAGGATTTTGAAAGATACCAGCCGAAGCGGGATTTTAACAAAGGGTACCAGCCGAAGCAGGATTTTGAAAGGTATCAGCCGAAGCGGGGTTTTAAGGGATGCCAGCCGAAGGTGGACTTTAGGATAAAGAGACCAGCCGAAGGGGAATCTTCATCGAGGAATACTATGCCGAAGGTAGATTCCTAAGAAAAGAACGCCGGTCAAAGGCGAACTTACAACTGCAAAGAGACCAGCCGAAGGGGACTCTCAACAAATGATACCATCCGAAGGTGGATTTTAAAGGATGCCAGCCGAAGGTGGACTTTAGGATAAAGAAACCAGCCGAAGGGGAATCTTCATCCAGGAATACTATGCCGAAGGTAGATTCCTAATAAGAGAATGTCGGTCGAAGGCGAACTTACAACTGCAAAGAGACCAGCCGAAGGGGACTCTCAACAAATGGTACCATCCGAAGGTGGATTTTAAAGGATGCCAACCGAAGGTGGACTTTAGGATAAAGAAACCAGCCGAAGGGGAATCTTCATCCAGGAATACTATGCCGAAGGTAGATTCCTAATAAGAGAACGCCGGTCGAAGGCGAACTTACAACTGCAAAGAGACCAGCCGAAGGGGACTCTCAACAAATGGTACCAGCCAAAGGTGGATTTTAAAGGATGCCAGCCAAAGGTGGACTTTAGGATAAAGAAACCATCCGAAGGGGAATCTTCATCCAGGAATACTATGCTGAAGGTAGATTCCCAATAAGAGAACGCCGATCGAAGGCGAACTTACAACTGCAAAGAGACCAGCCGAAGGGGACTCTCAACAAATGATAAAGGTATGCATATCTGGTCAGAGTTAGATACACAAGAGCGAAATTGATCATTAAGAAACAAATGTTTAGAATTTCTAGCGAACACATAAACGAGACTAACCGAAGAAAGCCCCAAAAAAAAAAGGACGCATTCACCTAAACAAGGGCGCCAGACAACTGGACTTTGAAGAGACATTGAAAGACTCTTAATCATAAAAAGTTAGCTAGGATAACGAAAGGAGGACCCGACTGACGCGGATAAACCAAAACAAGGAACCGACTAAGCAGGACCTTCCAAGAGCACTGATAGAAGGTGAACTTTACAAGAGAAAGAGATTGATCAAAGAAGACTCTAACAAAGATTTCCAAAACACATTGGGCTTTCGATAAGTTGCAAATACGCAAGGACTACAAAAATCCCTCAGGCCAAAGGCGGGGTGTTAATTCTTCAAGAGTGACAATTATCAGAATTACCACACACCAAGTATGGATACTCATACACTCGAGAAGCAAGAAGGTTATAAGCCAACTCTTACTCATACTCTAACAACAAAGAAAACGCGGGTAAAATAATCGAAGCTTGCAAAGAAAAGCGCAAACCACAAACTTACTGGGGAAATGGAGAAATACCAAAGACCCGACTGGTGGTGAATCCAAACACACTCTGATGGGGAAACATAATAGAATTACCCTAGGCTGCTGGGGAAACATAATAGAATTACATTTTTTTAGCGTAATGCTCCATACAATAGAAATGCTACGCATTTTAGTATATGCAATGTAATGATGCAAGTTTAGTAATGCATTATGAAAACATATCAATAATCGGCTGCTGAGAAGTCAGTGAACTTTCGAACGATTGTTCTTGCACGTCTGATCTTCTGGTAGAGAAAATGTAATAATGGGGAACTGAAATTCGAAACCATTAACCTCGGACGATTGATCTCACTGGGGAAGTAACTTCCTGGGGACAACACTACAAAAATAAAATTGTAGTTCAGAGAAAATTTTGAATTCTGATCAAACTCCCCACTTCACGGGGGAAAATTCTTTGTCCTCTATTGGAAAGAGGAAACCTTTGCTGGGAATGGAAACTTCTGGCATAGAAATTCTTTGACGAAGATAAACTTCTGTTGGAGAGTATAGAAATTCTTAAATAAAAAGAATTCTACTCAGACCACACTGGGGATAACGTTGCTGGGAGGTAAAAGGTCCTCACTTGGGGAAGAAACAACATCCCGGGACAAAAACTCCATTGGGGATATCACAACAAAATCTTCTGACACTGGTAACGCAAGAGTTATGACTGGAATTCTCTTGTACACCTCACCAGAGAGAAAAGACACTTGCTCTATTAGGGCACGAAGAATAGTTGCACTGGGGAAATTGGATCTCATTATACAAACATCTTCACGTTAGTCACATACAGACCCTTCTTGATTCATTTGTTGGTATGTATCTTGTCATAAAAAACCAACAATACTTGCAAAAACAGAAGTTGGGGCGACATACCCCTGTTTGGAATGGAAAACCTTACCGAAGAATAGACAATTTGAATTATCAATTACCGGGTAAAAACCGTGATGCAAGATTGCAACTTCAATACGTCGACTCCGAGGAGAAATGCCACTAAAAAAATGGACTTTAGAGGAGATGCTGCAAAAATAAAT